GATAAAAGTAAATATCGATCTTATTGTGCTAAAAATTTAAACTAATCTGTAATATGAATAATAAATTATTCAATAATGTGTATTTCCGTACGCTGAAAAAATAAGGAAATATCCGTTTAAAGTAATTAATCTGAAGCCGCAAGCTAAAATGATTTACTGAAATTCGCTTCATACCAGTCTATTATTGTAAAGATAACGTTCATGAATTACTTCCCTTTACATAAACCCCCCTTAAGACTGCATACCAGTATCGACATCAATATGCATTCTGAAATACAAAAATAATCACAAAGCTACAATAAAGATACATCAAATAAAAATATGAAATAATGGAGACAGATAAACTTACCACGACCAGCTCTATCGGTCACTACGCACACAATAGTTCTCGCGCCAAATTGTTAACTGCATGAAATGTTTCGCTACGTGAGTATAACTCGACCGTGACATCGATTCGGATTGGCTGTCCCCTTTACGATTGGCGACCCCGGGTAATTAAGTTCACATTTTTGATTAAGCACTTTAGGACATCCCTGTCCATGAAGAACATTTTATTCCAGTTAAACGTGCCCGGGGGTGCGTCAAACTGCACGCACTTAATAGTTACTTGTACCTAAGTTTGAATTTAACTATTTCCTTTTGAAACTACACAAAATATCCCGAACCATAGGTATTTTCCCTACACAAATTATAGTAAACTTAACCCCCCTACTGGGGTGGGGATGACCCGGGGGAGGGGGATTAACTTCACAATATGATTAAAGCATATAGTGTTCATAAGATGCCGATTTCTTTTTTAATATAGAAGCTAAAATGATTTACTGAAATTTATTTCATACAAGTCAAATAAATAACGTTCATGACTTACCTCCCTTTACATATACCCCCTACCCCAACTCGGCACACCAATGTAATCACATAATGATTCGTGTAATTATCGGTCAAATCTTCTTTTTAGAGGAATGAGAGAATACAAATGTAATCGAAAATAAAAATCATTTAATACTTATCTTTAATATATATTGAATGATTAAATAATGTTATTTTTCATAAGATTAATAAAATACTGAAAATGTCAGTTGAAAATAATCTATTTGAAACTAACATAACTGAAATTCGTTACTTACCAGTCAATAAATTGTAAAACAAAAATGCATGACTTACCTCCCCCTCCCCCACCCTCCCCTATAGCAGAGGTTGGATTGAGCATCTCAGAAAACTGACATACATGAAGAGTATTAGATAAAAGTAAATATCGATCTTATTGTGCTAAAAATTTAAACTAATCTGTAATATGAATAATAAATTATTCAATAATGTGTATTTCCGTACGCTGAAAAAATAAGGAAATATCCGTTTAAAGTAATTAATCTGAAGCCGCAAGCTAAAATGATTTACTGAAATTCGCTTCATACCAGTCTATTATTGTAAAAATAACGTTCATGACTTACTTCCCTTTACATAAACCCCCCTTAAGACTGCATACCAGTATCGACATCAATATGCATTCTGAAATACAAAAATAATCACAAAGCTACAATAAAAATACATCAAATAAAAATATGGAAATAATGGAGACAGATAAACTTACCACGACCAGCTCTATCGGTCACTACGCACACAATAGTTCTCGCGCCAAATTGTTAACTGCATGAAATGTTTCGCTACGTGAGTATAACTCGACCGTGACATCGATTCGGATTGGCTGTCCCCCTTACGATAGGCGACCCCGGGTAATTAAGTTCACATTTTTGATTAAGCACTTTAAGACATCCCTGTCCATGAAGAACATTTTATTCCAGTTAAACGGGCCCGGGTGTGAGTCAAACTGCAAGCACTTAATAGTTACTTCCACCTAAGTTTTAAAACTACACAAAATATCCCGAACCATAGTTATTTTCCCTACACAAATTATAGTAAATGTAAACCCCCCTACTGGGGTGGGGATGACCCGGGGGAGGGGGATTAACTTCACAATATGATTAAAGCATATAGTGTTCATAAGATGCCGATTTCTTTTTTAATACAGAAGCTAAAATGATTTACTGAAATTTATTTCATACAAGACAAATAAATAACGTTCATGACTTACCTCCCTTTACATATACCCCCTACCCCAACTCGGCACACCAATGTAATCACATAATGATTCGTGTAATTATCGGTCAAATCTTCTCTTTAGAGGAATTAGAGAATACAAATGTAATCGAAAATAAAATCATTTAATACTTATCTTTAATGTATATTGAATGATTAAATAATGTTATTTTTCGTAAGATTAATAAAATACTGAAAATGTCAGTTGAAAATAATCTCCATATAAGGTCCAGTACACTCTTCTGATTGAGCTCTATAACTGTAAAGATCTATATAGCTATTTATCACATAATGTACTGTGTTATCCAGTGACTATATACCCATGTCATATTTTTTGCGTATTAACCCATGTCATATGACCTATCAGCCCTGTGACATATTTTATTTGTCATTCAACGAAAAGGATTAGGCACAAGTTATCTCAACTTAGAAAAAAACTATAGCTATAAACTTATACCTGTATTGAACTCTTTTTTCGAAGATTTCTTTTTTATACAAAACTAAAGAAAATTCGCATAAAACTACAGGTTTTATTGTTATTCTGACTACAAAAAGAATAAAAAAGATACATATTTTAATTTTCATAATTTAGAGAAGGGTGTTTGAAACAGGAATAGAGGGAAATACTTACCAACTCATTTAACGTGCTTATAATGGGTACTGTCTAAACGGGATACCGGAATTTGGTCAAAATATATAAAAACAAATCTATCAATGAAAAAGGCAATGTGAGAAAGATAACCACGTTTTGAATAAGTTGATAAAATACTGATCATTTTGATCATTCATATTACAAGGGAGGTAACTATGAACGTTTTTATGAATACATTTTAACACAGTGAATATCTGTCCCCGACATAAACTACCATTCAAACATACTTTATGTAAGTTTTAAATTCCTTTTTCAGAACATCAATCTTACACAAATGCAATATTAATGTTTACCAGGTATACCGGCATATTTCGGAATATTACTGTGCACCCATGCATGACGTCACAGCGCGCGCTATCCAAGATGGCGGCGACCAGTAGTAAATTGACAGATGGCAGTTTTATATACTTAATTTGGTTATAAGACTGCTTTTAAAAGGTATGGACATAATATATAGGTATAGATAAGTAGTATACTACACATTATATATAACATAGCATGTATTTTGATATGACAATAGTTATTTTAGTAATAAGAACATATTGAAATATAGTTGAGTCTAGCGAAATGCGTAAGATGGACAACACGTTTTTACCAGCCTGTTACAAATAACCAGAGGGAACAACAAAAAGCTGTTTAAAACGAGAACCAATAGACAATTAAGCAGTAACAGCTACTGCAACAGGGTTGTGGAGTCCTGGAAAAGTCTGTGGTAAATGCCCCTAGTGTAAATACTTTTTACTCAACTAGTTTTGGTCTGAACACCCCTGCAAATTCAATGCCTCCTGCAAGATCCAGTCAGACCATTTAATATCTTAACTCACCTTTTAACTGTAAAATTTCTGGATTTTAATTCCTCTGCATCAATACGCACCGAAAGTCCAGTATCAGTATATCTAGGAACATTAAAATGCGCCGCAAGAAGCTACCTGAAGCTTTCCATTGCATGGTGTCGACAACTATATGAACTATATCAATGACCTCAGGCTTTCATTCTCTGACCCTACGTCCTATTGTACAGACAGACCCAAATTTGAAAAAAGGCTTCGTATTTATGAATTTATTCCGACAGATTAATTACAAATACACAAGCAGAAAAAATGGCAAAAATGATATATTTGTATTCTTTAAGGATTTTGTGAATGGTTAAGAATAGCAGATTATATATTTTCAAAATAATGTTTGGTTTTTCTGATGATATTTTCTAGTTTAAACCCAAATACTGTTCTCAAAATATCTGTCAAATCCCTGATTGAGAGTTAGTTATCGCTCCTATATTACATTTTGCAAAATATTTTGGTAGGAGTGTCTCTAAAACTATTTAATGATATCTTGTAAAAAATGTAAAGCTGATCCATCATATCCAAGACACCTGTGATTTTGTATAGTGACAAGTACGTATGTTATCACTTTATTGATAGGATTTCCCAGCACAGCTACCTCAACCCACAAGTTGACCAGTCAGAGGAAGCCTTCTCCTGGTTGCGACCTGACCTTGACCTTCTCCGAGAGTATCCTTGCTTGGCTGGGGTGACATGTATAAAGTCATGTACACCTTTATAGATTTTTCATTTCTCGCTGATGACCAGTTATGTTTAATTGAAATGATGGGATGAGTATTTTTCCTACCTATAAACCGACGCTTCACGCTGTTGTAAAATGTAAAATATCCGGCCCACTCAGTGTAATAACTGGTATTTAACAGAAGAAACAAGGAATATCCTGTTAATTTACAAGTTATCCCTTTTGATAAATATATTAGTTTTCACTTTTGATAAAATACTAGTTTTAACAATACTAGTTTTCACTTTTGATAAACAAAATGTATCCATGTTTTTCCTAACCTGGATCTAGTTAAGAGAGAAATTTGGCTGGAGGAAAGAAAAAGGTGGACGAGAATCTCCTTCCTGTGATGAAGAAGATGAACGAGAAACAGGTCAGTATACAAAAACCCTATACAATCCATATAATGACAGGTTTCTAAGAACCTAAGAACAGGAAAACATTGTAAAATCCATTTAATAAGGGGTTCCCCAGGGAACGGTAGGTGAATTGCATGTTAAAATACACATAAAACATAATCAAATCCCTCTGACCAGAGATTTCCTAAAGATAAGTTTGTGACTAACGTGTTTATTAGTCCCCCACTGGTTCCCAGGGGGACTTTAGGTTTGCACTCCGTCTGTCCATCCTTCCTTCCGTCCTTTCATCTGAGATATTTGTCCGGGACATATCTTCTGTACTATTTCAACTGGAGTAACCAGATTTGGTATGTACAAGGATATATTGGGATGACGGAATGCAGAGTGCAAGAAAATAGTCACTATGACCACTCTGTGACCTATGCTTTGACCTTAACTTTTGAAAAAGTTTGTCCAGGGCATACCTTCTGTACTTTTTCACCTGGAGTAACCAGATTTGGTGTATAAGGACATCTTTGGATGGCGGAGCTCAAGAATTAGGTCACTATGACTTCACTGTGACCTAATATATGCTTTGACATTTGACCTTACTCTTTGAAAAAGTGAGAAATCATTACCAGTCGGGGACTACGGATTGCCTTGTCTAACTTGAGGTAGTTGGTTCCTTATATTTATGTTGCCTGCAAAACATGTGACATAGGAATCGCTCCATCAGCGTTGTAGAAGAAAGTGACCTCATTGTCTACACAAATAGTTTCTCTGTGATAAGTCTTGTAGGATAAAGGATTGTTTTTCATGAAACTACACATACATATCTATAATATCGCAGATCAACTTCAGTTTGATTTTGACTAAAATTTGGAAATCAACATGGTTGCCAGTGGGGCAGGTATAACATCAACTTCCGAGGAATTATTTTTTTGCTGGAGATCGCTGTTTTTAAATTTAAGAAAATATTGCATCAAAATCATTTATTGATTGTGATGTGTCATATTTTCCCCAGTCATTTTAAATATAAGTTAAAGATGGCTCAATTGAAATGACATGTTATAAGTCATTTAAAAATGTGGACAGTCTACT